GGCATGGACCAAGACCCAACTCAAGTTTGGGCCCAACTTGAATAAAAGATTCATCTTTACGAAATTCAATGGGTCCAACCCAAAAAAGATTCACTTCTAATCAGACTCATCAAGACTCCAAAAACCATGTCATTAAGGAGTAGGTATCGCCATCTCAAAAACCTCATCTACACCACCTTGGAGTAAAGAGCAAGAAAGTCAAATACATCATCGTAAGACCTGGTCTTGAGGAGAGTTATGCAACAGCTTTATCCATTGCGAAGATGACTTCACTTTCACCAAATTAGTTTTTTAGTTACTTATAAGTTACCTTAATTTGTAAAAAGGCGACTATAAACCCCACCTACACACGAGGGACATCTCACACAATGGATCACATATGACATCACTCTCATGTCTCTCACATCTTGTACTTCACCCGAGCTCTCATTACTCTCACCTGATCTCCTTACACTGCTACAACAATAAAACACCCAGACCATCCTAATTCTTTATAGTGGAGTAACTCATCTTGACCGAACCACTTAAATTGTGTCTTGCTTGTGTTGAGTTTTCTTTCTTTATTTTATTATTTATATTAATTACTTGACAAGCGGTGTGCAAAACTAATTTGTGCATTATTATGTTCAATTGCATAAATCAACTTTATCACTCATAAGTAACATATTTTTTTAACAATAATATTGTTTGAGCATAATTTACTGACATAATTTATAGATTTAATTTATTACCATAATCATTAGATTGGTTACAGGTCCTAACAAATACTAGAATTTACTAGCAATCCAATGATTATAAATAATTAAATCAACAAATTAAGTCAAAAAATTAAATCTAACTACCATTACTCCTTACTTAATTTACAATGGTTTAGAGGAGAAAGACATTCCATTGTTGTAAACACCACCCTGACATTCCATTGTTGTAAACACCACCCTTTGTTAGAAAACAAAAAGGAGAAGGCATGCTTTGGATTTTATTTGTTGTCTAAAGTGAAATCTTACACTCAAAGAAAAAGACATGTTTTGGATTTCCTCTTTGTTTGAAGTGAAATCTTATATTCTTCTTCTTCTATGATAATAATATTATTATTGGTTTTTTTTTTGAGTAAAAATTATTATTATTATTATTTCTTTAACAACCAAGAGTTGGCTAATCAAAACTTAAATTAAAGGTAAGTGCAACATTCCTTCCAAGAAATGCACTTGAAATTTTGAGGTCATTATTTAATAGGGTAAACATATTTAGTTTTTAATAATTTGACTTGATATCTTAACATAATGATTTTTGTAATATGATCTAATAATATTGTTGTAATTAAAATTTTAGAATATTTTTAATATAGTTGTATCATTTATCAAATTTACACTCTCTGTACTAAAGTAAGGCAATTACCAAAAACATATACATATTTAAGTAAGGCGCCTTTTTTTTTTCACTGCATTATTTTTTCACCCCTCAGCATTGTTACTTGTGAGTGTGATAAATTTTTCTTCAAAATAAGACCATATTTCCATATCGACCTTGAGCAGGATAAAGGATAAAGACTAGGGTTTGTTTGGTAATTGTCTTTGTCTTGTGTTTTGTGTTTTTGTTTTTAATTTTTATCAAAAATAAAAACAAAAACATGTTTGGGTATTGTTTTTTGTTTTTGTTTTATATTAGTTGTCTTGGAAAAAATGAAAATAAAGACAAAAAAATTGTGTTTCAGAAAACAACCGAAACACAAAACACGCGCGCAACTTAGTTGAAGATTTTAATGAGGTATCGGAATCAACAAAAATGTGTTATTTTTCATGGAAGTATAAAAGGAGGCTTCAACCTCTTTTCAACCAGTCTCTCTCTCTCTCTCTCTCTCTCTCTCTCTCTCTCTCTCTCTCTCTCTATATATATATATACACGAACGAAGAGAACTGATGACGTGGAAGAAGATGATATGTGTGGTTGGATGGCGAGGAAGAAGAAGATCTCTTTATTTTGTGGAAGAAGATGATGCTCCATTCTCTCTCTCTCTTTCTCGCTCGTTACATGTGAAACCCAAAAATGAAACACAGATCTGTGCATATTTGTGCATCTGTATGTGTTTTGTGTGTGTGTGTGTGTGTGTGCATATTTGTACATTTGTACAGATCTGTAAGAGTGATTATTGCGTGTGTGTATGTGTTGTGTGTGTGTGTGATGCACAAATTTGTGCAAATCTATACAGATCTGTGCATGTGTGTGTGTTTGAATTCCCATTTAAGATTGATTGAACTACCATTTGGAAATAAATTATCTTTTGGAAATTAATTGTCAATTGGGATTGATTGAATTGCAATTTAAGATTGATTGACTTGCTATTTGGGATTAAATTTTCATTTGAAATTTATTGAATTACCATTTGAGATTGTACAAAAACATTTGAGATTGAATTGCCATTTAATCCCAATTTTTTTTTAAAGGAATTTTTAGATTTGTATTTTATTGTATAATATATTATAAAACATATTTAGAATAAAACGTGAAGTAGTTACCAAATATGTTTTATTTTTTATTCTCATAATTTGATAGACAAAAATGACACCAAAACATGTTTTTTATTTTAGTGTTTATCACAAAACAGAGACAAAAATTATCTCTGTTTTTAATTATTTTGAAGACGCAAAAACGAAAACATTACCAAACGATCCCTAAATTTCCATGCGAAAAAGACCCTATTCAGCACACTCCGTTTGTCGCGCCCAACTTGTTGGATCGACATTTTACTAGATTTAGTCTTTTTTCCTAGGAACAACTAACATATTAATAGATTAAGGGCTTTTTACACTTTATATCCTAAAAGATTTTAAATTTTTTATTTTGCATCTTTAAAAATTAAATTTCTCACACTGTACTCTAAATATATCAAAAGTATTATAATGTGATTATTTTGTTAGCTTCCGTTATTTTTTCGTCAAAAGCCAACCTATTGGCACTAATGAAAAAACTAACAGAAGAGTTATATTGTAATAATTTTGATTTATTAAAGGTGTAATATGAAAAATTTAATCTTTAAGATTAAAAAATAAAAATCTTGAAATCTTTCACAACATAAAGTGAAATTTACCCTTGGATCTAATATTCTTTTATTCTCGTTTAACAAGTGGGATCCACCTGTGTAGAATAAACCTTAGAAACTCATAATAACCCGTTAATCATAAAATTCTTTAAAATTTGAGAACTACCAACAAGATCGTACTCAAAATGTTTAAATTTATGATTTTTGTTAGATCCAAATTGTACAAGATTGGAATATACACGTGAGTAAACTAAATCAGATTAGGCCTGTCAATCGATCGAATTTTGATCTACATTCGATTTGAATCCAATTAGTTGAACATGATATGATATGATATTTTTTTTTATCGATAATCTGAATCTGAATATGTTATCTTAAATTTTTCAAATTTGAATTTGGATATACTTATATTCGATCCAATTATAATTTGATCAAAAATATGCATATATTCCCATATAAGTATTAAAAAATAAGTAATTACTTCAAAAAATTTAGTTAAAATTTAGATGTTATTTGTTAAATTTTAGTTAAATGAAGTTATTCGGATCATATTAAGTTTCTGGACCGAATATCCAACTGTTAATGAATTCAGATATAGACAACAAAAATAAAATTTGTCGAATAATCAGATGGAATTCGAACCAGTCTTTTAAATTCGGATTTGGATTAGTCAAAATCTGACCCGTTGACGGGCTTAAATCGGGTAATAGGCCGGGCACCAAATAAGGATTTCTCTTGGGCTTGAACATACGGCCCACATACGATAATTGTCCTCTCTCCCAACCAATAGCAAAAAAGTGTATCCGTGCGAACCGTACAAGTTCCACCGTATACAAGCCAAAGCAGAGTTTCGTTTGTGTTCGTACCTCGTTTTCTGATAGTGACCCTTACGTTGCACTATATATATATTCTTCATTATTTTATTCGTCTCCTCTCCGTCTTCTCTGACTTTCTTTGGGTGGGGTGGGATCCCACCCTCCACCTCCGCCGCCACCTCCTCCTCCGTGGACCTCTGCAACAAATACGGGTCCACGGTTAGATACACCTCCTCAAAGTCTTACCTATTCGCATACCAAATGGTAATTTGATTTTGATACATACCATATTGTGATGTCATAATATACGACTCTCCTCTTAAAAAAATCAACTCGCGCTTTGAATTTTCTCTCTCTCGAATATATATGTGCCAGAGATGGTTATTTTAGAATATTATGTAGATAATAACCTCTTGGTAAGTCTAATGTACCAAAGATTCGTTTCTCTTTACATGGGTATATATTACATATTTGTTAGTGCTATATGTGACAAAATGGCTAGTTGGTATGTGTTCGTGTTGAGGCAATTATTAGTTTTCTTTGTGGTTAATGGGGTTTAACTTAGATGGGTGTTTCTTCATTTTCAGTCTAATTGAGTATTTACTTTTGTTCGTGGGATTATATGATTGGTTTATTTAGTTATTCGATTGGCTTTTAATAAGGGTATGTGTGTGATTTTGCAGACTTGGAAGGAATTTTATATTTGACTTTGAAGCTGAAAAGGGTTTGTTGTTTGAGGTGAGGGTGGGTTGTGGTCTGGTTTCTGTTGGTTTTGATGGGTGGGTATGATCTGGGGTTCGGTTGGTCTGCATGTTGAGTGGTTTTGATGGGTTTCAAGAAGTTTTGATTCATGTGAGTTGAGATAAAACTTTGATAAGCATGGCCTGATTTTTTAGTAAGTAGATTAAGTTCTGTATGAAGGCTAGTTTAATCTGTAATTCAGGGTTTGTGTATTTCACTGGATGTGGAATTTGTTTGTTCATTGTTTTTCTTTTAATGGGTTAGAAGAAATGGTGTATATGGAGCTTTGTAAACTGTGATATAAGGATTTTGGAGGAAAATCTTGATTTCAAGCCTCCTTCTCAGCAAGAGGAAGTGAGAAAGAAGAATTGGTTGATTTGTGGTTATCAGGTCTTCTAGGGGTTGAGATGGGGGACGAGGCTAATTCTTGGTTACGAAGAACAAAATTTTCTCACACCGTCTATTATCGGTTGGATGCAACAAGATTGGCCTCTGTTCCTTTCACGATTCAGCCAAACAGAATTTCGGGTATGAAATTGAGACCTGGAACAGCTTTTGTTAATGTAAAACCAGGCCCCACTAGTGTGCAGATTCAGCAAAATCCTACCACAAGCAAGCAGAGGGCGGTATCACCTCTACCAGCAACCAAGCTTTCTGATACATTTAAGGAGGCTAGGTCAGATCGGAAGAGATTTTCAACTCCACATCCTAGAAGAAAAGAACCAGAGAAGGGAATTGGAGGCAAGTTGTTTCACAAAGATTCAGAAGAAACCAAAGCAACTGACTCACAGTCACCCTTGAATACGCACCCGCTTAGGCACTTCTCTTCGATGAAATTTACCGATAAATCAAGGAGCTGGAAGGAGTCTGCATGGACAAAGTATTTTGACCATAATGGGGGAAGGGTTACCTCGGTGGAAACAGAAGATGAGTATAGGGTCGATTTGTCAAAGCTGTTTCTTGGCCTTAGATTTGCTCATGGAGCACATAGTCAGCTTTACCATGGGATATATAAGGATGAACCTGTTGCCGTGAAAATTATCAGGGTGCCGGATGATGACGAAAATGAAGCCCTAGCAGCAAGGTTGGAGAAGCAATTCAATAGGGAAGTCACTCTCTTGTCTCGTCTCCACCATCAAAATGTCATAAAGGTGATCAATTTCTTTCTTCCTTCTTCCATATATCATTTGCTTTGGGTGGAAAATGTATAAATCTTTTCTATTAATTAGTTGAGGAATTCCGTTTGGTGGGAGTTAACTCTGTTCCATTTCCATATTGCTTGATACTATTTACTCATTGTTCTTCACATTTCTAGGAAGAATTGTTTGCCATTTTTTGCAGCGTGCAAGTAGCTGAATGGACCAAATTAACTGTTTTTTAACATTATGGATGTGACTTTTGTATCATTGCAAAACAATTTAAATGGTGAAGAAGTTCGATTTCTGTTGTCTTTGTTGAACTTCTTCTGACTCATTACGTTCTTATCCAACAAAGCAGTTTGTAGCAGCGTGCAGGAAGCCACCAGTTTTTTGCATCATCACAGAATATCTCTCCGAGGGTTCTTTGAGGGCATATCTTCACAAGCTTGAGGACAAATCTCTTCCCTTACAGAAGCTGATCACAATGGCTCTGGATATTGCTCGAGGAATGGAATACATTCACTCACAAGGCATTATTCATAGGGACCTCAAACCTGAGAATATACTGATTAATCAAGATTTTCAACTGAAAATTGCTGATTTTGGAATAGCTTGTGAGCAGGCATATTGTGATGTTCTGGCAGATGACCCAGGAACTTACCGTTGGATGGCACCCGAGATGATCAAACGCAAGTCCTATGGTCGGAAGGTTGATGTATATGGCTTTGGACTCATTTTATGGGAAATGATGGCTGGAACTATCCCTTATGAGGATATGACACCCGTACAAGCTGCTTTTGCTGTAGTCAACAAGGTACTTTCCTGTGTTTCATATTTTTGCTTCTGTTGCTTATATATTTTTGTGAATCTCCACAGTGCATATCGTAATCCATCCATTTATTCATCATCTCTGTTTTTGTACACCCTATTTATGTTTCAATTATTATGATTATTGGTCATGCTTAAATTGTGGTGAAATGCTGCTTGTGTATCAATCGAATATTCACTCACAAGAATTTCTCTCACCTCAATCTCCCTCCCTCTTGGCAGTATTGTGGCAGAGGGTGCTAGTTAAACCACTATGAATGGACGATATAAGGTCAAGGCACAAATTTAGGGTGGTTAGCTCATAGTAGTTGAGAATTGATTTATGCATGCAGCCGTGGAACCTCTAGAAATGAAAAGTGCATTAGTTTTTTGAGATGAGTTTGCGTTGCACCTTAGAATTTTCGGTGACTGCATTTTTTTTCCCCTTAAACCACGTCTTCTTGTGTAAGTTTAATTAGACTTGTAGGCTGTATTGATGGCCTGTGCTACCCAAATGATACGTCGCCGGTTTGAGTCCAGAAAGCTGTTTTTGAACTGGGGTAAGACTGCGTGTCACTAACCTCTCTCATTCTCCACCATAGGCATGAGCCTTATACATTGGGTACAACATTTGCTTTCCTTTCTTGTTACCGTAAATCATTTGTTCTCCTGAAAGCTATGTTATAGTTTTGCTATCAGTGCTTGGGTGTCTAACATGGATGAAGTTATTATTGAATCTTCCACATTTTATTTAATTGCCAGACTTAACAGAAGGTTTTTTCTGTTTATTTTTTTAATTTTCCTTTTACTTTTGCAAATGGAAAAAGATTAAGACTTCTTATGCACTGTAATTCTAAGATCAACACTCTTTGGGATCTTTCAGAACCTGAGACCAGCTGTCCCTGGGAACTGCCCTGCTGCCATGAGAACTCTAATTGAGCAATGTTGGTCTTTGCAACTAGAGAAGAGGCCTGAGTTTTGGCAGGTGGTAAAGGTATTAGAGCAGCTCAAGTCTTCACTTGCCCACGATGGAACCCTAAATCTGGTACAAAACCAAACATGTCAAGATCATAAGAAGGGGCTCGTTCATTGGATTCAAAAGCTTGGTCAAACGCGTCCAAATAAACCTAAATTCTCATGACTTTTTCCAATGATTCTGCTTTTGCAGCATCACCAGGTCACAATGTAATTAAAAACCTTCTCAACAAGCCTCTTTTATTGTATTTCTCTGTTCCTCTTTGATGCAAATGTGAATGATCTAGATTGTAGACCTTCATTGAGGCAGCAATGATTTTCTCTTGCAATACTTGTGCAAAACGCCTGATTTGAGGATGGCACAAATATTTTTGGGCCAAAAACAACTTGATTTTGTTTATTGTTTCGCGTTTAATGTTGTGCTTGTCTATGTTTTTGTTTTTTTTTTTTTGGTATGACATTATTCAAAACCCTTTATGAGTCCTAAACCACTTGTTGCTGATACTGAACTTCAAAAGTATGATCTGCATTGTATATTTTTTGGGATGTAATTTTAATTGCTTATGTTAGATATTCATGGTTACATCTATAAACACTTTTATATTATCTTTCTCCCCCTAATATTTCCATCCCTTCATATCGATTGGCTTGCGAGTTACACTTTTTTCAGAAACTTCTCACTCTTTCCTTATTCATAAAGCACAAACATGTACATGAACACAAACGCCATTTTTCACTTAAAACCGTTCTTCGTGATTAGAAATTATGGTTTAGGGTTTAGGGTATGACACACTTGGAAACGTTGAGGGACTTTTGAAGGATGTGTACCATATGTGTATATTAAGATGCATATTTTGAAGGTATCTCCATACAGATCAACAAGATTTTTGGCTGTTACTTACAAGCATATTCATATAGTCTAAAGAAACAAGATTTGAGAGAGAGAGAGAGAGAGAGAGAGAGGATTTTCAATGCAATGGATCCTGGTCTAATGGTACTCCATATCTTGTGAAGGGAGATAAAGAGTTCAAGTTCTCCTCCTCATCCCAAAAAACAAAAACCAAAAAAAATGCAATGAACCTGTAATGAACATAACTAAAGACATCAACTTGATGATGATCATTTACTTTTCCACAATTTGCTGACACTTTTGTTTGGGTGAATGACACTTTATACCCTGAAAGATATTCAGATTTTCAATTGACACCTTGAAAGTTAAAATTCTTGAATCCCACCCTCAATTGTAAAGGTTATAATGTAGTTCAAAACAACAAATCTATTGTTTTATCTGACAATATGTTAGTGTTGTAGTGTTTATATTTTTCAATTTATAAGCTCAACTCTTTTGTAAATTGCTCAGTTTTAAGTGTTTTACCTGAAAATGTTTATTTTCAATATTTGTAAAACATACCACATTGTTATTTTTTTATGTGATTGAGATTGTAATTTTGAGAATTTTATACTTTCAGAGTGTCAATTAAGAATCTAAATATCTTTCAAAAGTGCAAAGTGTCGTTCGCCCTTTTTTTTGATGATTTTTTGGTCTGAACCAGAACCTATGCAAATGCAATATACTGACCAACTAATCTGTTATGTTTTGTCCATATGTTGGAAACTTCCTACATCAACCCCATTAAATTCAATACTTCACTCTTTCATGGTCTTCAAAACTTCCGAAAAAAAAAAACTTTCTCTGTTGGAGTATCACATGAAGCATAATGCAGTTTGGGGTGGGGCGCCGGCGGGCACGGGGAGGGGTGTTGAACAGACCGATATAATTCTTATTGGACTAAGATCGTTTTGGCTCATGACTTGTCGTCTAACTTATAAGCAGATGTATTGTTACTCAAAAATCGTTTAACAGATAAAATGATATGAATTTATGTGAGTAAAATGATACTGTTTTGAGGAACATTAACTCTTATGTATTGCGAGTAATTCTCACCCCATGACGTATTCTTAAAAACGGATGTGTTTAAAATGAGTTAGTATATATTGGACCTGGTGACTTTGTCCCCATAGTCAAATGAAAAAAAGGAAAGATTGCATGTTGACCAAATTGAATTGAAAAGCAATTCCTTCCCCCTCCCCCCCTCCTTTTTTGGCAATCACATTGAAAAGCAATTTCACAAGACTAAAAACTCTTATCCTTGAAGAGGACAACAATGCAACTTTCATCTTTTTCTCTCCCTCTGCTCTTAAAGTAGATGATGACCAGCAACCATTGACCGATAAAAATGATAAAGTAATAAAAAAATTGTAGATGTGACGTGTTGAAATATAAATACTTGAATTATACCTTTTTCAACAGTTTAAACTTTTGAAGTAAATGATGTCATATGTTCAAATCTCGTCGCCACCCTAATTATTAAAAAGATTTTCACATGCTAGGCCCAACATATAACTTACACATGAGGGACTAAGCTTTTGGAGTAGATGATTGCTTAAACTTTTGGAGCAGATGATTGTTTAAAATGACATGTTTAAAGTTAATTTAGAGTGTTAATCAACGTTGGATTGAAAATAAGTTTCATATAACATTAAAATTCAAAATTAATCTAACGACTATATTGAATGAAATCCCTATATCATTGGTATTTTTCAATACTAAGAGGCAAGTGTCCCTAACTCAAAACCACATACATATATTATAATATTTCCCGAAAAAAAAAAAAGACTACTTGGAATTTACAAATAAAGAAAAATCAAAAAAGATATCGACTTTATCAAATAGATTCTCTTCAATATATGTGCTCTTCAGATCACCTATCATGGATTGAAATAGGACCTATTGTATATGAGCGGATACACCTCACTCATTAAGAGTGAATTATTTGCTAAGGAGACAATTAGAAGAAAAAAAAAAGTATTAGAGAGAATCTAAATCCGAGTTTTTCATCTTCATTATACATGCTTGCCAAACAATATTAAACTCTTTTAAGATATGAGCTAGCCCAATAACAAAACAATGTTAAACCAACTTAAGATCTAAGCTAGCCCAATAACAACCTCCCGTAATCCCAAATTCCATTGAGGTCCATCTCCTAATTTTTGTCTCTCCTTCCCATGGGCCAGCCCATCCCTAAGGCCCAAATCCTTGCGGCAAGAATCTCAATTATGGTATTAAAATATAACACTGATATGTTAACACATCACGAAATTATAAAGTTTTGAGTTTTTTTTAAGTCACTTTTTTCGTAAATGAGTGGACACAATACGACACGATTAATAAACGAATTGAATATGGATAAAACTAGTCGACTCGTTTATATATTGTTTATACACGATTCATATACGATACGAATTCGATATGACACGATTCTTTAGACACGAATTAATAGACAAATTGGGTATAACTGAAATATTTTTTCGACCCAAACCCACTAATATCCTACACTCATCCACCTCACCCGATACGATTGACAAACTTAATTTACAATAGTAGTCTAACTATAACTTATAATAAGAGAGAGAATTAAGCCCCTTACTCTCTTTCTCCTCTCCGTCTCCGTCACAAATAAATATTGGGTGTAATGGTGACAATCGAATTAGTGGTATGAGATCACAAATAATTCACCCCACATTCAGACGGTGCATAAAGATGATAAAAAAAAATTGGTAAATGTAACGTTGTTGAGTTATAAGAGTTGAGTACTGAAAAGTAATTCTTTAGAATCACTTTCCCAAAAAAAAAAAAATTTAGAATCAAGTATAATTTTTTAATAAAATCATGACAAGGAGTAAAGATGATTAAGATAATAAATCAAAAGAAGCACTTCCCCAAGCAATTACCCAAAAAAGAACACTCTAAAGAAGCTCTATGACCAAAAATTATTTGAATGTTTAATACGAAAAAAAAAAAAGGGTCTCGTACCTTCGTCTTAATAACAAAGACGGTGGCATTTTACTAGATGGGGCAATGGACAACACAAATCATCAAAAAAGCAGCAGAATCCACCAGCACCCGTGGTAGCCAACTGCTTTGGTTGGCCCCCTTGGTTTCTTCATTTAAGTTGATACATCGCATGAGTCAAAAAGGTTGTTGGAGATAACCAAGAGGCTTGTCTTTTAATACACAACCACCTTGGTTTGCCCATTAAATATGGTCTATTGTGCACAAACTTTTCATCATCGGTCTAATCTAAGCAACATCATAGGTTCATAGTTCTCTGACGCAATTCATCAAACAAGAAAAAGGCAACCCAACTTCAATGGCGTCTCTTTTTCTTCTCTTGTCTGAACTTCTGCGACATCAAAGCACAGACCCAGTATACACGTATTCACAGCCTTGTGTTTCTTCTGCTGCTGTGACAACCACAACTACTAGAGCTGGTGCTCCGTGCTTTACGAACAAAAAAAGGGTTAATGGAGATTTGCCAGGAAGAAGGATTGAGAACTGCAACAAGTTCGAGGACTTTGTGGAAGATCTACCCAGGTTTTGCGTGGACCTTGTTTGGGCTTGGATCATCTGATTACTTGTAGTTGGCCTCCTGTATGTGTGTTATGAATTTAGTGCATTTTTTTTTTATCTAAGGCATGCACATATGAACACACTTAAGTCCTCACATCAACAAACTCAGACACACTTAGCAAAAGAGAAACCCGGAAGTGACCGACTCGCCAGTTCCCCGTAAAGTAAAGACCGGGAGTAGTCCACTTATACTCAAGTCTCACTGTATTGAGCAAACGATGTGGGATGTGCAATTCAATACTTAAAAAAGGGGACATATTTGGTATGAACATTTTAAAATTAATTACGGTTTTTATAGTTGTAAGTTACGCCTTAAAAAATTCAAACTTTACTTTGAAATTCTGTAAATTCCAGTTTCTTTGGGTAAACATGAGGTTGTTAACCCCGCCTCCCAACCACCCTGAACAACTCTAGCAGGAGAAAACAACAGTAAGAGCTCAACAGCTTAGGCTCGATTTGGTTTTGAGTGGTTTAGTCTTTAGATTCGATTAACTTATAAAGTAAATCAAATTTAACATAACTCGTTTGAAAAAATGAGTTGAAATCGAGCAACATATGATTTAGTTCAAGTAGCTCGATTCGGCTTAAATATGTATTTATCTATACATAATTCTAATTTTATTTCTCTATAACCTCAATCCAAAAGATTAAAAAATTTTAAACTTATCTCCAAATAGTTACACATTAAACACATTTCTCAAGGTTATCCCCAACTTTAAAAGAAGAATTAGGATAATTTTTAC